TGTCCAAATTATTTACAGAGAAGAGTTTAATAAGAACAATAATTATTTATAAATTACATTATTTTCAAGAAGCATAAATGTAAGCATAGATGTATATAGCATAAATGTAAAATGGAGGCCCAATCCTTCCCCTTCCCCAATCCCTCCTCAATCCCTAAATCTCCAAATCCCTAATCCCTAAAAGGTCAGCAACGCACTCGTAACTCCTCCGTTGCGAGTGTCCATGGGCGGCGCTGATTGCTTACCATCAGGTAATCCGTCTGCTCGTTTGCCGACCTACTACATAAAAAAAAAACAATGTAAGGGACGCGGCGCAGATTTCTATACAATTACAACTACTGAACCGTTATTTATTTAAAGAAACTTTTTATTCGCACATAATATACCAAGTTCTAAAAAACTTGATGAAAGAAGACAGAAATATGCAATTTTAAATTACAAGTATAAAGGAAAATCACATTGAACTTCTAGCTTAAATTACAATTCGAAAATAGACCTTGATATATCGCGTATAAGTAGCAAATTTTATTGAAATCAGCTTACTAGCTTCCATGAATATGACCTTAATATTTCGTTTAAAAAACCAGACTGTGTAAATGGTTTAAATTACCATCACATTTTGTGCATGTCAAAGCAAAGTCCAACGGTAATTATCTAGTACTTTAAAACAACATTTTATGGCCTTCTTAATAACTTCCCTTGCTCTTATTTCCTATAACACTAGCCCTAGATTCAGGTCTAGACTGTAAGGCCCAGCGTCAGACAGTCTGCAATTTCACCGGTAGAAAGCCTTAATGACAGGAAGTGACGGCAAACCGTGTGACCTACCGACGCGGTTGCGCAATCCACCGGATACCTACGCGATAATACGGGAGTGGACAGAATTATGAATGTGATTGTTATATCAAAAAGTGATAGTCTGATTGTCGGTAAGTGTTATTAGGTGAGATTGAATTAAATTATTCGAAAAGTGTACAGAAAAAAGAAATGTGTTGAATTAACTTTTTTGCAGAGTAGAGAATCATGACTTCATGACGCAACTTCAAACAAACGTTCAATGTTTTAGACAAATTAGTCTTTGGTCGAAGTCAGAACTAAGCCTCCAAATAACGTTATGAATCTAGAAACCGATTACATTTCTTTAGCATAACTAACATTACATGTCTTACTTCAAATTATCTACCAAAAGTTAACTAATAAGAACTTGTTGGACAGACTCTAAATACAAAATTTCAACATATCCTCAATCGGATACAAAGTCAATAAACATGGCAAAACTTCAAAGGAGCGATGAAATAATAAACCATACTTAGTACATAACACATTGCAGTACAGAAATTAGGACATTCGTCACAGACGCATGCGTAATTAAACAAATGTGGCAGCCCATCAATATCTTGCTAAACACTCCACTACTTAGAACTAACTACTCTATTCGTATCACATCTGACAAGTTCACACGATATAAACGGTCAGAAGTCTTAATGAACTAAAACCAAAATCAATTAGGTAAATATATAAAGTTAAATTGACATATTTAGCAAATTAGTATTAAAAAATATCCATTAATAAGTAACTAATTTCTCAATGACATCGTCCATTAATTAACCCATTAAACTCATTAACATAACTAACCTAACCTAAGTTTTTAAAACAAGACAGAGATTATTTTTTAAGAAAACTATTAAAATTCCAGTGGTACTTCTCACTTTAAGTTTATTGTCGTCTAATAAACGGATGATTAGCAGTTAACGCGCCTGCGCATACGTTCCCACGGACATGACATGTGTGGCTGAATGCAAGTGTGCATTGTCCTGGCCCAAAATATAAAGCAATTTTTTTTCAACATGGCGGCGATTTTTTTCTCTTTCCTTGTTCTTTTGTTTTTTTAGTAACTTGTCAATACAAATCATTTTTATGTAAGCGTTGAATTTACCTGTTTATAATGCACTACATGATTCCAATATTATGAAAGTATATCTATTAAAATCAAGATCATTATTCTGTAAGGAATTGAAAATTTATTTAAAGGGAACCGTTTGTCTTGGTATGGCCATGTAAGAAGGAGGGATGAAACGCATGTTGCAAAAAAATCCATGAGTATACTATGTAAATGTGGATGGATGGAGATGGAGAGGGAGACCAAAGAAAATATGGATGGATTGTTTGAGAAGTGATATGGAAGACAGAGGAGTTAGTGATAGTGTGACGGGTGACAGGACAGAATGGAAGAAAAAAACATATTGCGCCGACCCCAAATAAAACGGGACAAGGGCGGGAAAATGATGATTCTGTAAGGAATTATAGGAAAAATACCTGCGGTCGTTCACAATCACAAACAATGAATGCACTTTACAACCGTTATAAACACAGCTCTGATCACCAATTAAATAAACAATAGAAAGTGCATGCACTGGAAAGGGGCGTGGTCATCTATTGTATGGTCTTGTAACAAATAATTAGTTCTAAGTTCTCAAGTCAAATCATCGGAAACGTCTTTCAGAAAGTTATCATTATGCCATGAACATATTCTTGTCGGATTCAAACGGTACTCAACCACATGCCTACAGAGTTCATAAAACAATTAATCATAGGAAACTTTATAATCGTTTATAGATTCTAGACCAAGGAATTCGGTCAAGGTTACCTACTCAAGAATACACCATAAAACTTTTAGAACACATTTGCTTAGTATGATAATTAGGAAGTGTATGAGTCATCAATCGATTTACATAGAAAATCATCAAATCGGAATCATCGCATACATTAAAAAGATTATAGAAAACTCGTTTCTAGTGATGCATTATTTTACGCAGTATATAATTCTCTTTAAATTTAAAAATCGTGACGTATTTATTATCACAGTGATGCAAGATTACATGTTGTAAGCTATTAACAGGGATTTACCAGGCATATGTTGGGAGTAAATTATAACAAAACATTAAGTAGGTACTCCAGTGTAATAAACTAAACACTCTACATATGGTTACCAATACATAACATATAAATAATAAAACATAAGAATTAAGCTCATGTATAGACACATTTGGATTCGATGACAACTCTTTTTTTAATCAAGCTGAGCGTCAGGTTGGCGCCAAAAACAAATTGACAGTGACAGCGCGGGAAATTGCAAATCATAGATAATTTATTATGAAAGGAATTTCATATTTATACTAACGGCAATAAATTATTGCAATAGTTTTGTAATAATACCTACAACAAACAATAATGAATCTGTGCTCAAGTATGAGTTCATAAAATTCCTTATCTGTTGCATTTCCGACCGTTGTGTCGTTATTGTTTATGAGTCCATAACTCGCTTATATTGATGGAAAATCCTTTACCACATAGATTAAGCAACTTGAATGAGACAGGAAAAAACCCAAGGATCGAACTTTGCGTTGTCGCAAGACGATGCGAACATTGTAGACGATGATATTTGATTTTATAATGCCAATATTGCTTATCTTTCCCCGATTTTTTCAAAATTTTATTCGTGTTACTTCACTTGGGGAATCCCGAACACTTAGCAGTCTGCACAGATTAGAGCATCCGACATGCTCTAACTGATCTAATTAATTATAGCTGATCCCATCCATGGAAATTGAACTATGCTACGTCTCGAATGATAAACAAAGACTTAACGCCAAAATAACTAAACGTACAAAGCGATTTCTAGAGAAAGAAAAGAAAATATGCAGACCTCTTTAATTAGGTACTCTTAAATGCACTCTTACAGACAATGAGAACTCAGAGTTTAATGACTTCTCAAGTCATCACAAAGACAGTAACGATCACAGATGTCGGTCAAAACTAATTCGGATGCTCTCACCGTTCGCGAACTTTCCACCACGAAACAATACCGGGCTGGCTCCTAAACCCAAGTTCACATGTCGCTAAACAATCGAGAAATCATCCCCGTATCTCTATCGGCCATCAAAGTGTCAGTGCCGCGCTTAATTAAGAACTCGTTGTAAGGTATAATGACTGAACGCAATGCCGAAATTGTCCCATTGTGCACATATTCCCAGGAATTATGATGAAAATATTTGGTTTGCTCGCTCAAAACCGTTAGACCTTGGTGATGCAGAAATATGGACAGAGAACAAAGCCTGCGACCATCTGTGATGCAGACACAATTCAAAATTGTGTTCTTTTTACAGGCATCGCCTTGTGTTTAAAAAATATAGTCGTTGCAAATATTTTGGATATAAACCTTCTCGATGAAGGTCTTAGTCGCTAAAAAACGTAGAATAACATAGCGCAATAGCGACATTTTATCAGATTTCTCAACCAATACAAACAAACATGATGATGACAAACGTGACTAAGGGAATTACTTGGGAATACTTCAAATAAAGTGTTATTGTCTTTATGTCCTTCCATATTTTATCGATGATATTTGACAAAATACCTATGTAGAACCGAAACGTAACACAAAAACGTTTTCAATTTACGAGTATCAATGGTAATCGTGGAAGCGTTTATACATATTCAAATACAATTACAGATAACCGCATCTTGTCCACAAAGTATTTCCTGTCGTTACAATATTTATACGAAGCATTGGGTTCCCATGGTGGTTATTATCTCATGGGAGACATAGGAAATTCCGCCATTAGCTACCAAGAAAGTGAAATCGAATAATAATGCGCACGCACATTGATAGTATCGCTGTCTCTTGTGTTTATAGAACATTTTATAGGGAGCTCCGAATGATGGATGATGGATGATGGATGATGGCAATCGTGTAATAGTAAAAGTATGGGTAGCAAGGTTAAAGGTATTTACATTAGATCATAGCTCACATTGCATCACAGTGTTTGACGTGGTACTTACATGTTAATTGCACGTGGGAACAATAAAACAACCAAAATGGAAAACAAAATAAGAAACCGAGCGAATAAGAAAATACGAGTAAAGATTCACGAAAATATTTCGCTATTTAAAAAAAATGTAAAGCACTAATAAATAAGTAGGTAAAATAAGGAACTTACCGTTCTATGGGACAGATCAGTGACAGAGTCGTGCCGGTGCTCGAGGCTGCCGAGGCTGCAGCAGGAAGCTGAGGACGCGAGACTGACGGAGTCTGCGCGCGCACGGTGCGGCGACACCGCCACGTGTTTCAGCATGCCGGGCCCTGGAACAACGATACGACTCATATAAATAAAATCGAACTCAAAAAAACTTAAAATGGTGAAAAATATTAATGTGATAAAAAAAATCCAAAGAGAATGTACATTGACCATTAAAATAATCAATAAATAATTTTCAACCAAGATATGAAATGAAGCAACCAAACAACAAAAGCATTATCTAATTTGGTCGCAAGCCACTTATGCACGCACATGCATCCCTTATAGCGCCGGATGTATCTAAGCGGCAAGTACCTGGAGAGCTATTGTAGTAGACCATTGTTGAGCCCGGAAGATCAATATATATGGGCTGTCGCCAATTATGGTGAAATAAAAAATGAAACAGACACATCGCACACTCAACTTTAAGCTATACATTTTAAAGATGGAAATGCATTTGTTAACGAAGATCTAGGCGATGTTAATCATAACATATTATATTACAATGTAAACACTGGCTAAGCAACATTCCCAATCTCTTAAGTTGCAACTTTTATCTGTGCTACTGTATCAGTGAGTCTCCAGGAACCATAAATATTGCCATTATAATAAATTGCTGATAAAGGTCTTAACGTTTCTAGCTTGTAAAATGGCCTGAAGACATGAACAACTTTTACTTCTGAATTTGTTCATTTAGGAATTGTATTGCGTTATGTTAATTTAAAGTCGTCATTCGAGTTTGCAACATCAAGTGAGTAATCAGCGTTAAGATTAGGATTAGCTACTTAAATAGTCTCATCATAATCAACATCATCATCATTACCAGCATTTATATGTTGCTTAACAAGCTGTTTTCTACCTCTACCATTGTAGATCTAACTGTATACCTGAATTACCACCTTGAGATGCAATATTAGTTTTTTGATAGATCTCCATTATTACCGATAATAGATCAATTGACTCCAAAAAGTTCATACGTGTTTTGTTGCACCCAAATATTGGCCTATCTGTCTGCTTGTCTGCTAACCCCAATTTGCTAATGCATAGTTGCGTTGATTGTTGAGGTCGTGAGATTTAGCGCACACAGCTATGCTGCTGTGAATTAAAGAAAGTAGATACACAATAATACAATAATGGGATTATTGCTGATATTTCATCTATCCTTTTCTAAACAATGTCTCAAGTGAAAGCTAATTTTGATCTGTCTCATTGTGTGATTGATCTCATACTTATTTATTTACCTAAAGGCAACACAAACGATTGGTGAACTTTAAAAGCGTTTTAGTTTCGAGTTGAATGAAAATATTAATATTCAAAATTTCGAGTAATTCTACGAATTTATGGCCACAAATCTTTATGAATGCCCAATATCTGCTGCTGCTCTCCAAATTAGACTTCTACATTTAGATAACATTACATAGTTACAAAGTATACATATGAATTTCATCACCACTAAAAAACCTCCACATAAAAGTCAAAGTTACAATACCCTTAAACATTTTGCCTCACCAAACGATTGCAATAAGTAAAGCGTTTCATGATACGTGGGAACAGAACACAATAAGCTCATAACTTTATAATTTAGTTTAGATACAATTGACAGTAAGTTTTTATTCGCACATGGATAACATCGTAAATGCTGTGCGCACTTCTACGAAACATGTGCAAAGCGAACAAAATAATACGCAGAAGGTCTTAACTTAGAAGCTCAAGTAAAGATAGTCAAGGAACTTGGAAGTAATGTAGCAAAGTTTTAAAATGTAATTAATGCATTAGGCATTCTCGTGGCAAACAAATGCGGATGGTAAAGAATAAATCAAATAAGTAATAAAAAAGGAAGAGCGATTTTATAACAATAATAGTGGTCTAACGATTAAAGCACTTAACCAGAGTCACGCAGACAATAAAAATGAAAACAATTGGGCATCTAATAGAGCATTACCGACAAACAAATTGAAAGACAATACATAAAACGATCGTCTGCCAAATCAAGTGAGACTTGCGCTACTGTTCGATTCCCTTTCTAAAGGCGTGGTCGTCGCACGCGCATCCGCCGCGCCGTGGCATCTGTCGAACAATAATCCCGAGTTTTTGCTAGCCCCCATTGTTTTTGTGCGCTTCCCAGAAGGCAGGGGAAATCTCGCTCTGTGAGATCTAGCTACAATATGCAGCTTTCTACAAAGTGCATATCATTCGAGAGTGATAAACACTATCATTGTCAAAGATTAAAAGTAAACAATTTTTAATGCAGCTTTGATGGCTTAAGTTTCTACGAAAATGCAAGCAATTTTGTTACTTGTACTTAACAATACATTGTATAAAACCAACTACGAAGTAATCTAGATATCGCTCTATTAAACCATTATAATGGATCCAATTAAATAGTATAAACAAAATAAATTATTTAATAAACGGACTAATCACTGTAATTGCTCTCGTAACCAACACGTATAACAATTACATGAGCAATCAATCAACATTAATAACCAATTCATCAGACTTTAATGAACCAATCGATGGCTACTGCAGATAATGACTGACGGAAGATAATTTTGGTTATAATTTGTACCTGTATGGAGGATGGGGATATAATTTATACACACATAATTATAGACATGGAGAACAAACTGTCTGAACGATTTGCGCAAAGATATTTCTTTAGGGTGATGGGTGATTTAAAAATATATTTTACAGCAACTGAAGCAGAATCGCAATATTTCTTGCCATGACGTTATCGCGTGCGACATCCAAGACTCGGTAACATTCATCTACTGTCTCCATTCCTCGACATTTTTGTTACGCTTCTACAATTTTAATTACAACATCAATCTTGCTACTTGTGACATTAATAATCTCCAAACTTATTCAAATAGTACACGCGTCGTTAGTGATATGTCTTTATTTACTTCTTCGAGCCATTTCCGTTCTGGTTGTTTGTATTTCGTATGGAGTCATATTTTATCTGGTAGCTGTCCGATTAGCATATCTACCGGTATTGATATATATGTACTTGAACTTCAACGACCATTGAATCAATAAACCCGAATTACATATAATATTTATGCTAAATTGATCCTTCTCTCAAATCCATGCTGCTGAAGGTCGTTAAGATAAATCTCATTTGATATTAATATTATGATCAGGTACGTTCGAGCACTAATAAGTGGTCTTGCATCAATCAATTAGTAAAAACGTTGGCCGGATGAAACTTAGAGGGAACCATTAAACATGGAATGTGGATTAATTAATTTATCAAAAATTGGCAATTAATTATTTTCTTTTCGTTAATTTGGCTCAATGTCACACGATCCAGTGTTTGTCGGAAATTTTCGTGTTGGGAAATCACATCTCTCTCTGAGTAATGTTTACGAAGCACATAAATGGAACGACATTGCAATCAAGCGGTTCTCAAAGAGTTTCTTCATGCCAAAGAGGTATTTTAAAATGGAGTGAATCAATACTAAAGATTTCAACAATTGATTTACACGCTGCGGAGTATTTGTTAAAATTAGTTTCGGTGATGATGATGACATTTAAGATAATTCCTAGTTTTGGTAAGACAACGTTATTAGCATAATGTTTTAAGTATTACTCAACCGCAAACAATACCGCCTACTTGCTCCAATGTTGGACCAAATATTGGGGTCACCGTAAAACCATACCATGGTTTGGAATCTAGTAGTTGGGACGGATTTCTGGTTGAAGTGCGGAAATCACTAATTTTATTTTAAAATTCCAGTTGAAGTAATGTACGACAAGACCGGATGCGTCTAATATTCTCGTTTGGAACTCAGAGCTAGACATACATATTAGGAAGACCAAAAATGTTTACCTAATATTTAGTTCTCTCAAAATTAGTAAAGATACACATCTAGATTAAGATACTTAAAAGCAATTTATTGGTTGCCAACACTTAACATATACAATATTATTCCACGATTGTGAAAAATTTATTGGTAAACCTGTAACCGCAAATATTGGTCCAATATATTAACCGTGTTACTATATAATAGCCGTGGGTTGCCATTATAGTAACCAACCCTAATATGGCAACACAGCTGGCTACCATCCAAACAGAGGTTTACGTAACCCACACAATAGTCACAAATTACTGCAAAGGTCAAGTCTTCATGGAACTGCTATAAAATTATCGACTCATAGTCCATTGAATCTGCCATCATTACTTTAAAATATGCGTTCACTAACTTTAAAATACTTTAACGACTTGTACTTTCAAACAAAAATGCAACAATTAATAAAATATCTTTTAGTACTCTCTACAACCTTTGAAACTCTATTCTAAGAAATATACAAACGGCAATCTAAATACATCAATACAAATAAACCAAACCTAAGAGTACCAATTCCCTCCAACAATACAGTGTAAATTTGTGTTTTAATCCCTTTCACATAAATCGGGAACAATTCCTAGGAAACGGGCAATACCGGTGAGTACGGTAATCGAAAGCTTTAGTGTGTAAACATGTCCTATAAATTCAAATCTGACGTGTTTCCAAACAAACCCGACCAATTTACCATTATAGGAATTAAAGCCGGAATGCGCTGGCGCACGGTACCGACAAACAAACGATTGGTTGCTTGTTTGTGTGGGCGTGTTGCAGCAGGATGTGGTCGAACACAACAATCGATTTTAGGTAAAATTATTTCCTAAAACAATCGATAAATTACAACCTCGATCAATATTGTTAATGCGAAAGTAAACAAGTTTTCGCTTTCACACCCAAACCAGTCGAACTGATTTGGTAAATTTGAGTTAAAGAATATCAAAAAGATAATTTTGAGCCAATCAACCGACCTTATGTCAGAACCTCATGCTAAACTAGCTATAGGTTCTATACACAGACAACAATGTGTGCGATCTTAATGACCGAATTGTCAATTGCCGTGCGGATGTTATGTTGATACAGAAAGGAAAGCACTAAACGAGACTGCTCATTGTTATCCAGGACTTGATCAACGATACTCTTTGTTCTCACCGTTCCAATATCTAGAAAGTCATTAGTGACTCTTTGTCGATCGTCACGCCATCTGTCCTCGACGTATAACCGTCGTGAATTATTTTCATAAGATATTTAGGTCAACATTTTGTCAACAACTTTTCTTGTTTGGATCGTTAATAAATCTTGATGTTGGACAGAATAGTTGTCGTGTTCGTCAGGACACCTACGATGATTGTTGTTGTAGAATGTCACTGATTCACGGAAGTGTTGGTCCATTAGTCACTAGTATGTTTGCAGCCGCGACCTTTGCGCCTTGTAGAGTATCCACGACTTTATTAGAGGTATGTTCTTTAATAATTGCATTTATTGTACTTTGACA